GCTTGCTTAGGTCTTTTGCCCATCTTTGGATTGGGTTGTTTGGTTGTTTCTTATTAAGTCGTATGAGCTGCTTATATATTCTGGAGATCAAGCCTTTTTGGTTTCATTTGCAAAAATCTTCTCCCATTCCGTAGGTTGTCTTTTTGTTTTACTTACGGTTTCCTTTGCTGTGCAGAAGCTAGTAAGTTTCATTAGGTCCCATTTGTTTATTCTTGCTTTTATTTCTTCTAGGAGAAAATTTTTGAGATGTATGTCAGATAATGTTTTGTGATATTTTCCTCTAGGAGGTTTATTGTATCTTATCTTATGTTTAAGTCTTTGATCCATTTTGAGTTGATTTTTGTATATGGTGTAACGGAGTGTTCTAGCTTCATTGTTTTACATGCTGCTGTCCAGTTTTCCCAACACCATTTGCTGAAGAAACTGTCTTTATTCCATGGTACATTCTTGCCTCCTTTGTCGAAAATTAGTTGACCAAAAGTTTGTGGGTTCATTTCTGGGCTCTTTATTCTGTTCCATTGGTCTATATGTCTGTTTTTGTATCAATACCATGCTGTCTTGATGACTGTAGCTCTACTAACTGGTCTTTCTTCTTTGACTTTGCTTATGTGGTTTTTGCCATGTAGATGTTTACTTTTGGTAAAGTAAAATTTATTAATCTTTTATTTTATGGCTTCTAGGGCTGGAATCATACTTTGAAAGGCTGTTCGAGTGGTAAATTTGCAAAAGCATTGTCGCATAGTCTCTTCTGTTAAGTTCAAAGTTTCATGTTTTTCATTTTCAAATATTTAATCTGTTAGGAATTTATGCAGACATAGGATATATGGTTTAAATGTTTTAAAATCTGATATGAACATAGCCCAGCATCATTTATTGAACAATACATTTTCCCCCCACTGACTGAAAATGCCACCTACTCATATCCTAAATTCCCTTATGTATTTGTGTCTACTTCTGGGCTTGCTTTTTAAAATTCATTAATAATTTTTCTTGCATTGGAACCACAGTCACCAATTTATAATACTAAAGTGCTTACCTCTTAATGGTTACAAGTCCAAGTCCAAGATATTGGGTTCCCTGTCATGAGAAAATAAATTGCACCATGGCTGGACTCTGAGGCTGGCATTGTAAATAAGCACTAGCTGAGCCTGGAATGACATATCAGGCTTGCTAGACTTGTGCCTCTGGTAAATTCTTAGCTATTAGTTATAGCAGAAACATTCAGAGGAATCATCCTGTTTCATCACTGAGAGTCCACTGTTAGACTCCAGGAACTGTCTTCCAATCTACTGGCCAGACAGGATTGTTAAGAGGGAGTTCGTGGGAATTAAAACTCCTGCTTTAGCTGTTCCTGAGTCAGAGCAGTTATCTCTTGTTGCTCTTCTAGAATGATTTATTGTTTAGTATTTACTACCTGGAGGGTTTGAGCAATTCTAAAAATTCATCTTTAGCATGGCTAAATAAAACTCAGTGAGGGGCAGATTTAGAAGACGCTCTGTGCACCTAGAATCCATACCAACTATGCATTAGGGAAAGTTGATGGGACCAGAGAATGATCACTCCAGCCACACTTTCCCATTCGTAACTTCATCTCTGTGGTTTTTTCTACCACAGTATCTCCTGTATCACTTTTGGATCTTTTAGTGCACCATGACTCTCCCTGATGGCAGTATTGCACACTGAGTGCCTGTATGTTGTCATCCTGAGAAGTCTTGCATGCCACCCTTCTGCTGCTTCACCCATATCATTGCATAAGCATAGGGGTCACTGTTCCTTGCTGTTATGGGCCTCGGGAGCTGAGCTAGTCTGTGTTGCTAACCCTATGCCTCTGTAAACAGTCCTTTTATTACCCAGATTCAGTGCACCATCTCATTCCCACTGTGACCCAGTTCTTGTTGCAAAAACAGAGAATTATAAGCCTCAGATATTTTAATACTGAAAAAGACAGTATACACCTGCATTCTTTGATTTAGCTCTAGCTAATAAAACACCATGTTAAAACCAGAGGCTGCATCCTATAATTAGCAGTTATCAAAGAAAAACATATGGGAGGATAAAAGATTTGTTAATTCTAGTGTATGAGAAGAAGGTCTGTAGAACATTTCAAAATAAGTTGCAAAAGGTAAAGCTGAAAATGTCTATGAGACGTTTCTATGATATACTGAGAATGTAGTTCCCAACCTATGTTGAAATGAAGCCCACGTTATGTCAGCTTCTATCGCCTTTGTCTTTTAACATCTTAATTATTTTTAAATGTTATAATTAATAATCAACTCTTAGTTAGGGTTGTTGTTTGGAAATATGACGCTTAGCTAATATATTCAAAATTTGAATTTAAAATGTTTTTAATATAATTCAGATTATGAACCAAAATTTATAGACTCTTATGTTTGTATAGAAATGATGTTATTGTGCATATTGTGACACATTTTCACAGCTAAGAAGGATCACTCTTACCTGAGTTTTGGGAATGAGAGAACTGAAGCTCAAAAAAATATCCTGCCCGTGTGCTCTTAAGACCAAGCAAGGTGATGAAAGACTCAAGTGGGAGAATAAAATTATCAGGATGAGGGAGAAACCTTAATAATATGAGTCCAAAAGTATAAAGGGGCTTCAATCTGGAAATACTAAAATTTTGGGCATCTATTAATAAAATGCTTTCAAATGTTTATGGAAAAATTTCCGTGGGGTTCATGAATTTCCAGAAATCTGGCTTTAGAAGGTACACTTAGTATTCTGAAAGAGTCTTATGTTTAGGAAGGAAGTAAGAAAAGAAGGGAAGTTGAAAGAAGGAGGAAAAAGTACTTGAGGTAGGTCAAATACCTGATATTTCTACAACCAGTGATGGAACACACTAGAACTAGAAATATAGTCAAGTGAAATTTAGTTGACTTTATGATGTTCAACTCACTGGAGTTCTTAAGGGACATTTGTGATGTATACCAAAACTCAATTTTGAATTATAGAGGACAGCAAAACCTTTATGCACACTTTCTTTGCTGTTCTGTCAAAAAGAACACCATGCTAAGATGGTATTCGAGCCCAGGGAGGTGTTTCAATAGCAGTAACAATAAAAATGATATTTCTTAAGAGTTTACATTGCGCACCTCACCTGTGCTGAGTGTATTAAATGTCTTATGTCTTTGAACCTTTGAAGAACGTTAGGCATCTCCATTTCACAGACGAAAAAACCACAGGCTTCAAGCAGTTGAATAACTTTGACCATGTTGTACAACAATGCCTGGTGGAGTCTCGACTCCAACATAAGTAATTGCTCTTGAATGTGCTCTCCTACATTTGAGGCAAGATGGTCCCTGGCATGAAATGATAGTTAAAAATACATACACATACACTCATGTATGCACAAGCCAAAGCATTAACAAATCAGGAGATTTCAAAATCAGGGGAAATGGCTGTCTTTATTAAGAACATATGGAAACAATGTCATTTCAGATCACAATCAGTGTATATGAAAAAGAAGATGTTGCTGACCCAAAAATAGATGGATTTGGATCTGAGCTAAAATTATGTGACAAATGTGTTTTCATCTGTCATTTCCTAGAACTGAGTGCCAACTCTGAATGCCAAATCAGAAAGGGAAGACTGGCCGCTAAGAGTCCATTCCCCAGTCGCTGGCTGGCTCCAACACATTTTATGACTTGTGAGGACATTCACAGCATGACAAAGATTACAGGTAGAGAGTCAGCAGCAAGAGGAGGCACAGCACATAGGGCAGAGGCAGGTGGAGATGACACAGGTGGGGCGATAGCAAGTGGTGTGGCAGAAGACCTGGCCACAGACTTGGGCGCAGGCAGCAGCAGCAGGGCCAGCAGCTGGAGATGCAGCAAGAGGGTTGGTAGCAGCTGGAACTAGAGCTGCTGGAGCATCAGCAAGCTTGGGGCTGGCAGCTGGAGATGCAACATCCGGGGCGGCAGCAGCTGGAGATGCAGCATCTGGGGTGGCAGCAGCTGGACTCACAGCACCTGGGGCGGCAGCAGGTGGGCTGGCAGCACACGGACTGGCAGCACTGGGGGCGGCAGCAGCTGGACTCACAGCACCTAGGGTGGCAGCAGGTGGGCTGGCAGCACACAGACTGGCAGCACTGGGGGCGGCAGCAGCTGGACTCACAGCACCTGGGGCGGCGGCAGGTGGGCTGGCAGCACACAGACTGGCAGCACTGGGGTCTGCAGCAGCTGGACTCACAGCATCTGGGGCGGCAGCAGGTGGGCTGGCAGCACACAGACAGGCAGCACTGGGGGCGGCAGCAGCTGGACTCATGGCACCTGGGGTGGTAGCAGGTGGTTCTGCAGCAGGTGGTCTGGCAGCAGCTGGGGCGGCAGCAGGTCTCCTGGCAGAGGCCTTGGCCACAGCCCTCCTCAGAACAGACAGAGCCACAGCAGGAGCTGACCATGGTGCCAATGCAAGGATTGGGTTTCCACAAGTGGGTTCCCACGGAGGTGGTTTCTTGAGTCTTAATGTCTCCTTACCCCTGTCCCCTTTTATACTGTGAGGTTAGCTGACAATACCATGATCAACACCATTTCCTTGTTGCTTTTCCTACTTGACAATCAATTAATATTACTAAGTTGATAATTGTCTTTATCATGTTAATTACACCGATATCTGAAAAAAAGAATCATTTCCTTTTTCTAGTGTTATGATTCACTGAATCTTCTTAAACCATGTGAAACCATTTTCATGTTTCTTCCTCCTAGTGTGTCTTCTTAGTTGGAAATATCATGTGATATTCTAATATTCAGTTTTTACATGTGTCATTTTGTTCCTTCTTTGTGTATGACTCCATGACAATCCTTTGAGAGTGGCTATCACCATGCCAAATCTCTTTTTATGTCAAAGTGGGGAAAATGCATACTACTGACAGGTGGAATGTTGATAAGGAAGTAGGAGGAAAGACTCATCATTGGAATTTTGAGTACAATGTGGGGAGACTGTGATTTGAATTGAGGCTTATTGACAGTATGCTTTTGTACAATGAGGGGAGACTGGATGTGTTTCCTGGATGATTAGAGAATCAGGGGTTACAAAGGATGATCCAATCTCACTGTGATGCCAACCCCAAGAATAAGCTGTTAGTTTTTCCTTTAGGATGGTAAGAACCATTTACACAGATGAACTGATACCCCCAGGAATCTTCTCCACACAGTATATGCTAAAGGTGAGTGTGTTGGACCTGTCTTTTGATAAGTCAACATATGCAGTGGATTTTGCACTATATAGAACTTGTTATTAAAAGCATGTCTTTCTGGTACTGTTTCAGTAATTTTAATTAATTCATTTCCAAAACAAGCATATGCACTTAAGTCCTCTGTGCTCTCAGTGGAAAATGAGATAATGTAGATGGCTACTATGTGTGAGTGCTGGCCACGTGCCCGATACTCTGCTGAATGATCTCTAGTCTCTGTCTTGATTGTCTTCTGATGGAAGCCATGAGGTCCTTGCTGTGCTCCAACAGCTCACATGGAGGTGGATTAAGTTTGTTAAATCCTATAACAGTCTACGACGTGTCGACAATACTTACTCCACACCTTTCATTGTGCTGTTATATGTCCTTAGGGAATCCCTCCTTTCACATCCACTCAGCAATTTCTTATTTTTCGTTTAAATTCCAGCTCAGAAGCCTCCTCCTCCCTTGTTCTTTTCCTTGGCATTATTTAAAAACAAACAAACAAAGAAACTTCTGCTGCTGCTCCTTTCTGCCTGATATCGATCACATCAGGAACACTCAGACCTAGCATATCCCACTACAACCCGTGTCCCTCCAGCTATAAACTCCTGAAATGAACACTTGAACCATGTGTCACCTCTACACGCATGGATGCCGTCAGTGTTTTCTTTTTACTTCTAGGAATCAACTTCTGAATTTAGATTTTGTTTTATGATTTTGAAAAGTATTTATGGTTCCAAAAGAAGTTCTACAAAGTCAGATTCCCATTCAATGATGTCATGTTCGTATTGCTGTTCCTTTCATGAGTTTTCTGACTCCTTCATATGTATTTCTTTTTGTAATTTGAGGTCTTCTTCCTCATTGCTATTTTCAGTATAATTTTTGCATATTTGTATCTCCTTTTTTTCTTAGTTTTTTTCCATATACACTTGTCTCCAACTTTCTTGTTCTCACTCAACAAGTTATCCCAGAGATTCCTTCACAGTAGTGTGTTTGATATTCTTGATTCCATCCTCAGCCACAAAGTAGTCCATCTGTGGACAGAATGTAATTTCTTTAGCATATTACATGTATTAGTGTGGGCAATTGATCAATATGCTTGACTTGAGTTATCTAGTGTCTATTGTATAAAATATAGATAGCGATATATAATATAATGTGTAGTTATAGATATAATGAATAGTGATATATACATATGGTGAATTATATATTATATATAATGTATGTGTTAAATATATACATCTCTATTACTATGTCTCCATCTAATCTTTTACTATTTGTTTAATTTTCTTTCCTTCCCACTCTTGTTGTGTCTTTTGATATTTAGAAGGCTTGTATTTTGTACTAATTTTACCATTGTATAAATATGTTTGTATAATACCCTAGGAGCCCAATTGTTTTGCTATTGTCAGTTGATTCTCTACTTTCAGAAATACTGAAATTACCTGATTACTTCCTCATCCTGCAAAGCCTTAGACTTACACTTGAACTCTTAGTCAATCCACATAGGCAATTGGCAAAATTTTTCTACCTTACATATTCTGTCTCCTTTCCCTCCATATTTGGATAATTTTACTATATCCACATAAATAGAATTGCTCTTATTTAAATTTATTATGTAATTATTTGTAGCCAGTATATAAAATACAATTAATTGATGTACACTGACCTTATGTCTTGTGTAACTTCACTTCTTAGTGTCAGGAATTTCTGGTAGTGGGGGAGCCCAACTATAGTTTAGTTCTCCCCCCAAGTAAAGATTTATCTCCACTCTATTCCTCATCAGTGAGCCTGCCCCTCTAGCTGCCTCTCCAAACTAGGCAGCTTTAGTGGGGCTCTGGGGTTGAAGGGTAAACCTGAGATCATTGGTAAAACTGTCCTTTTGGTTACTGTGTCTCGATTTGAATCACAAATCTCTGTCTCTGAACATTGATCCAAAGCTAATCTTTTTCATATAAAAAGCACAGAGAAAAAGTTTTTGGACAAGCCTGTGGGGACAAATGTATAGAAAAATATTTTTACGTAAACACATCAAAAATTGATGTCTGTTGAGAAACTCCATTAGAATTTCAACTCCGTTAGTGCCAAGAGTTCTTGTGTGTTGGTTTCCCCTCTCACCCTTGTGCCTTTTTACAGTGTCTCCCACGTAATAAATGCTCAAGAAATACTTTTTAAATGAATGAATGAAATGAGTGGCATCTGGAAAGATCAATGAAAGCAGACTCAACTTTTCAGTGACAAAGCTTTGGCTCCCATTTCCCCATAGAAACAATTGACAGGAGCACAGTTCTACTCACAGATGTGGTCAGACCGTCTTCAGTTTGCTGGTTTCGACCAACCCTTGTCTTATCAGGACCTGCTTCACTCACCTAGGTCACCTGTGTGTCCTTTGAGTGAGTGAGCTTTTGAAACTTTCCTATCAGAAGGGGCTGAAGTAGTGCTCACTTGGTTTGCAAGTCTGAATACAAACTTGCAGACTGTGATAAACAGCACATTGCCACCTATGGTAGCTGCCGTGATGCATGAACCATACACTGGGTTCTTTTTCCTTTTATATACATGGATTCCATAAAACTTCTATTTTTCCCTTTTTTGTTCTTTTCCTAGGTCACATCCGTGGGTATAAGTGATCTGTACATGAAATTAAGAGGCTCCTAGGAAAGAATGAGGCAGTGATGGTTGAAATCTTTCATTGAGAACTGATAAGACCATGGTGTGTGTCCTGCAGGTGTAGGTCACATACACTTGTCTAAGAACTGAAGACAAAAATCATAAAGGAGCAAATATCACACTCAATTTTTAATGCAGGGAAAGGTAACTTTATTTTAGCACAGAAATAGACTAGGTTACAGAAAAGTCCTATAAAAAAGAAGTTAGCAGGATGATTTATGATGGTCAAGTGGGAGGGTAAAATCTGTTACTCTAAAAGTGCTCCAGACCATACCCACCTTCTTCAGTAGCGTAGGCAGCTTCCTCATTGGCATCACGAAGCCCAATTTATTTGAATAACATCAACCCCACTCCATGTGTCCTAAGAGTCAGCACAGTAGGCGGGTCTACATCTGTGAAGTCGGAGGGTAACAGAGACGGTGGTCACAGGGCATCAGCAACAAGAGGAGGCACAGCACGTGGGGCGGGGGCAGGTAGAGATGACACA